GAACTTGATTCACAAGGTATCTAGATGTTATACAAATCCTTCAAAGTTGTTCCGCATTGCAGCTTGACAAGCTCCACAAGTCATGTAAACTTGTCCCAAAACGTCATTTGAACTTGTTCCACAAAGCTGCTTGATTAGATCCATAAGGCTTCCGGAGTTGTGCTACAAGAATTCTTAACTTGTGCCACAAATCCTCTAAAATTGCCTCCAGGGTCTCTGGACATGCAGCTGGATATGTTCCACAAGTCGTCTAAACTTGTACCACAAGGCATCTGAATATGTCCTCCAAGTCCTTAGAGTCCACATGGCGTCTTTACTAGATCCATAAGGTTTCCGGAGCTGTTCCCCGAGATTTTTAAACTTGTTCCACAAATACTCTGAAATTGCTTTACAATGTCTCTGGAGTTATCCCACGAGATTTTTAAACTTATTCCACAAATCCTCCGAAACTACCTTTACAAGGTCTCTGAACTTGTTCCACAAGGTATTTAGATGTTATACAAATCCTTTAAAGTTGTTTCGCATTGCAAGCTTGACAAGCTCCACAAGTCATGTAATACAAATCCTTTAAAGTTGTTCCACAAAGCTTCTTGATTAGATCCATAAGGCTTCCGGAGATATGCCACAAGAATTCTATTCTTGTGCCACAAATCCTCTAAAATTGCTTCACAGTGTCGCTGGACATGCAGCTGGACATGTTCCACCAGTCTGGCTTCTTTACTAAATCCATATGGCTTCCAAAGATGTTCCACAAGATTTTTAAACTAGTTCCTTAAATAATTTGATGCTGCCTTTCAAGGCGTCTGGAGTTGATCCACAAGGTATCTACATATTATACAAATCCTTTAAGGTGTTTCGCTGTGAGATCCTTATTCTCGCTACCACTTCGAAATTTTAAGTGCACAAATCTCAGCTTCCACGACACGTACCACAATGAAACTGCAGTAGCTATTTTAGGTGAAATAAGGCACTAATTTCCGAGATTTGCGTATTTGAAAATTCGAGGTGGAAGTGCATTTAAAACCTACGTGGCGGTCATTTGTGGACTCTACAATGAATCATCTTAAACTTGTTCCATATTGCAGTTTGATAAGCTCCATAAGCCATGTAAACTTGTCCCAAAACGTCGTTCGATCTTATTCCACAAAGCTTCTTGATTAGACCCATAAGTCTTCCGGACTGGTCCCACAAGAATTCTAAATTAGTTCCACAAATCCTTTAAAATTCGGTCTCTGGATAAATCCTTTAAACATGTTCCACACTGCAGCTGGATACGTTCTACAAGTCCTCTAAACATGTCCAAAAGGCATCTGTGTTTTTTAACTTGTTCCATAAACCTTCTTGACTGGATCCATAAGGCTTCCGGAGTTGTACCTCAAAAATTCTAAATTTGTTTCACAAATCCTCTAAAAATGCCTCACAAGGTCTCGGAAAAGGTCCCACAAGGTATCTGGACGTTTAACAAATCCTTTAAACATGTTCCACTATGCTGGATATGTTCCACAAGTCCTCTAAATTAGTCTCACAAGGCATCAAGTCTTTGGAACTTGTTCCACAACGTTTCTCAACTAGATCCATAAGGCTTCCGGAGTTGTCCCACAAGATTTTTAGACTTATCCCGCAAATAATCTGGACTTGACTTGCAAGGAATCTGGATTATATAAATATAATATTATATAAACTTGTTCCACATTGCAGCTGAATAGTATTTCCATTGTTCGACCCTTTTTGACTTCCCGAGAAACGGGGAAGAACTGATGACTCTTCGCGGAAATTCCCGGGAATCGGGAAATATTTTACTTCAGATGCCAGAAAGTATTAAGTTGCTTCCATAGAGAAAAAAATCCGAGCTGCCTCCGAATTGTCTTCCGGGTTTTTGTTTAGGACTAATCTTGACTGTTCCTTTTGACCCAGAATTATCCAAGACGTCTCTTCCAACGTTCCTAGAAGCTTTCATAACACATTCATCGGAAGCTTCTCCCAAAAGTCCTTCTGGCTTTCAGAATATCTTCTTTTGACTTCCACTAGTTTCTTCAGCAAGTTTCTTTAAACCAAATCGTTTTTAGCTACTTCAAACGTTTGTTTGACATTTCGATAACTCTTTTGGCTTTGCATGAAAATGTCTGATTTCCCCAAAAGTTTTTCCTGGTTCCCTGATTCCTCTGGAAGTTTCTTCAAACTTTCTGCTTAGAATTATTTATTAATTTGGACTCCTCTGCGAAATTTGCTGTAACTTTGACCTAAAAATCCTCCCAAAATTATTTCCCGGGAAATTGAAACAGATGCCCGGGAATTGGGACACGGTAATTTTGGTTTCTCGGAAATGGTTTCCCGGGGCGTTGTGGGTACGAAACACTACAGCTGAATATACTCCCCTAGTCCTCTACACTTATCCCAAAAGGCATCTGGATATGTATCACAAGTCCTTTGAACTTGTTCCACAAGCCTTCTTGATTAGATCCATACACGCTATTTCAAAACTACCCAAACTTGGGTAGAATTCACCCAGATCGGTCAAAACTGAACCTACCCAAAAATGGGTAAACTGTGTTGGGAGTGACAAGTTGACAAATGAACAACGATGATCGGCTTCATGTCGATGTTGTTCATTAGTCAACTTGTCACTCCCAACACAGTTTACCCATTTTTGGGCAGGTTCAGTTTTGACCGATCTGGGAGGATTCTACCCAAATTTGGGTAGTTTTGAAAAAGCGTGTAAGGTTTCTGAAGTTGTCTCTCAAGTTTATCCAAACTTGTTCCACAAACCCTCTGAAGTTGCTTTACAAGATCTCTAGACTTGACCCACAAAACATCTGGGTATGATCCACAAGTGCTCTGAATGCTTCCGGACTTGTTCTACGGTTGCCGTAAACTACACGGTTTCTGAATATTTTCCACAAGGCTTTCGGTATTTTATGATTCTCTCACAAGTCCGTTTAAGCTTCTTTGTTTGCAAAATACCTCTAACCTTGTTCCACAAGTTATCCAAACCTACAATGTTGCTAGATCTAGATAGAGCTGGAATTAGGGCGTAACAGCTTTTGTAAACAATGACTTCTATCGATGATTTCTAGGAATTCAAGGCCCGTCCACGCAGACCAACCTAACCATCGAATAGCGGAAGTCTTTCCCTACCCGATGAGGATGTTGGTTTGCGTGGGCGGGCCTTGAATTTCTAGAAATCATCAAGGGAAGTCATTGTTTACAAAAGCTGTTAGGCCCTAATTCCAGCTCCATCTAGAGATATGTTCCACACATCTGTCAAACTTGTTCCACAAGTACTTGGGGCTTCAAAGGTTAACTGAATTAGAGGTCTATGTTGGAAATATCCTTAGGGGTGATTTCTTCACCTCCGCTTAAACCATAAACCTAGGCTTTTTGAAACTCCTGAAACTCACTGGAGGTTTTAGAACACTCTTGTCCTGCGAGTTTAGCCAGCCCTACCTCGAGTGAGTGGCGGCAGTAATATGGAAGAAGTAAACAAAAACTCCTCGATAGAGGGAGGGAGAGTGAACTTCAGCGAGAGGAAGATTTGACGTGAGGCGCGCTTTTCGAGAATCCGGATGACTTTTTTGTTCGACGCAAGAAGCTTAGAGTTCACCCAGAGTGAGAGTAAGAGTGTGTGATAGAAAACATGAACATGAAAGGCAGCAAACTTCACTTTAATTTAATCCCCCTTCGCTCACAAGCTCAGAAGCTCAGTGAAATGATTTGGCAGTAGGCATTCTACTCCTCAGAAAAATGCTACGCTCGGCTCATTTCTAACTTTTGAGCAGGGCTCCATCAAGCCTGTTTAAACCTTGTTTAATATTTGAGCGGAGGAGAAGAAATGGGCCGTTTCAAGTTTTGAAAGGAATCGGATTTTCCATAAATCACGTAGAAATTTTGAAGCAAGGGAGGTTTCATAAGTCCAGTCGATTCAATGAATGACCACACTAGGAAACCTTTCTCGAACCTTGGATGTTGGAATTTAATTCAAATTCAAAGACACAGAACACTCCCAACTCAAACCAACCCTGCAAAACAAACCAACCAACCAACCGAAAAAAAAAACGTTTACTAGTTTTTAGCTAAATCAAATTATGTGTAACCCATTTACATGAACCTATTTCACGAAACAACAAAAATAAAAAAAAAAAAATAAACAAAGTTTAAGTAAAACAAAAATCAACATCTGTATGATAGTTGTGTAAAGAAAAATCAAGAATCACAAAAATGACAACAGGAGACAGAGACACGGCGAGGCATTTCCTTTTTGTTCTTAGGTGAAAAGAGTGTTACATTATTCGAATGTTGAACGACGATTGAAATAGAAAAGATCGGTTAGCGAAGGACGATTGTGGAACGAATTGTTGTAAATAGCAGAAGAAACACATACACACATACACATAGGCAGAAGAAGAGCTCAGTGCGCTGTTCTGCTGATCTGTTACGGCGATAGTCTAGTGAATATATTGTGTAGTATAGTTGAAGGAAGGCAACCATTTTGTTTCGGTAGGATAGCGGAAGGTAGGAACGTTTTTTTTTGTAAAAAAGAATATTATATATAAATCGAAATGTGTATAGGATCAGTGGAGGATAGAAACAGTACCAATTTTTATTCGGTAAGGAATTAAGGAGCGCGAGAGAGATGTGTTAATGCATACGCTCTGTGGGCAAACAAAAAAAAAACACTAGGGACGGAAACAAGGGAAGGAAACTTCACACGGAATACGCTCTATTATTACGAATTATTATTAATATATAATTATTGCTACTGTATAATAGAAAAGAAAGATGGTTCGAGTTTAGGACGATGGAGAGTAAACAAAACTTGTAACTATAGAAACGAAAAACGCTATTTATACACAGCAAAAGTTTTCCATAAAAAGAAAATTTAAGTAAAAAAATGACAAATTGTCTTGTCAAAACTAATAAAATAATAAGAATTAATAATGAAAACACTGCGAAGCTTGTCCTTGTTAGAGAAATACTCCCTTTAGTAATATTTTATTGACTGATTTACACCTTGCTTCTAATCACATACAACATCAAGAAGGAAAGAAAGAAAGAGAGAGAAAAATAACTAGAAGTGAAAGAAAGCAAAACTAATGTCATCACACTTTCCGGACCCTGACTATGTTGTTTCATTTTTGGCACATGTTAGAAATCATCATTGGTGGCAGGGCTGTAGAAGGCTCGCGAAAAGTCGGCTGGACCCCGTCGGATGAAACCGAAGCAACCGCGCCGGTAGACGAGGATGATGGCCGCCGTGAGCGGAATACCGACCAGGACGCCGATCAGCAGCCCAATCAGCAGGGCCCCATCGTTCTGCGGCCGGTTGCCATACTTGTCCTGGCAACGCATCTGGCTATGCTTGTGCTCCAGCTCGACCATCGAGAGGCCCTTCATCTGGTCCGGGGCGGCGCAGCTGCAATGGTACAAAGAGGTTAGGGGATTATTTCAACCGGTAAAAAGCATAGGAAATGGAAACACTGTATAGAGAATATTGTCCAAATATGAGAGGCAAACCAGTCTTTAGGCTGAAAATCACTTTAATAAACAAACAAACAAAAACTGCCCATTATTGGCGTTAGGGGAAGGAGTCACTATTTTGAAGTCAGTCACTAAAAAGTCACTAAAGATACTCCCCCTATTCTGCGAGTCACGTGACTCTCTCTCACCGGTGAGGTGACAACAGTCACCTCGTGTGAGGTGACTCTCCATTTGATTTGCATGGAGAGTCACCTCACACGAGGTGACAATTGTCACCCTACCGGTGACAGAGAGTCACGTGACTCGCAGAATAAGGGGGACTATTTCCCAACCAATAAAGTGTGTGAAGGATTTGAAATTGAAAATATCATCAACATGATTAAATTGAGTATTTGGCACTAAGGAAGTCTACAGTAGTTATGACGAAATAAGCATATCGGAAAAAAGTGGGAATAGCCTTGAATTTCGATGGCAAATTGGGAAAAAAAAAATACTTCCTTTTCCCAAAAATAAATTCTAAACTTTGAAAATTTCTGTGCTGGTCTGTGCTACACGGCGAATGAGAATGATCCAAATTTGAGTTTAGCTTACTCATAAATCACAGGAACTAAGCGATGAGTAAATTTGCCTCATGTTTTTCCAGGTTTGTAGCTGGTAGCGAGTCACTTTTTAGTGACTTGGTCACTTTTTTCAAGTCAGTCACTAAAAAGTTTCTTTTTTAAGGCCAAGTCACTAAAGTCACTTCTTCTTGTAATAAGTCACTATTTTCAACTTTTTTAGCGTGAATTTATTTCAAGTTTGATTATTCTTTATGTTGTGACGTTTAATCGTCTTTCACTATATACAGGATGTCTACTCATTTTTCAGGATAAAATTACCTGTGTTTGCCAAGCAAGTAAGTCCAAGATCTAAATATAAGTTTCGTTTTCCATGTACAAGTACAAGATATTGAAAAGATTCAAAGTGCCAGGATTAAGTAAGACAATATATGATTTATTTCATGTTCATAATTAACTTTATGGGAGATTGAAAATCTTCAATGCAGTCCCATTAACTTTACAACAATTATAGGAACTTTGGAGAAGTTCTGAGAAATGAAAGGAAATGCTGAGAATTTCAGTGAAGCTCTATAAACAAACTGCAGGAACATAAGGGAAGTGTTAAACTATGGGAAACTTACTGGAAGCTGTAAGAACCTCAAAGCGGTTCTTTTAGCATCCGTGACTTTTCTGGAAGTTTAATGAAGTTCCTAGAATTTCAGAGAAGTTCACAGGTGTGAAGCGAACTTCACAAATTTAGAAAACTTGAGGGGTATTATGCAAATTTTTAACAAGTTCTAAGCACCTCAGAAAAGCTAGATCTAGAGATCTTTGCGGAATTTCAGATCTTAAGAGCAATTCCCGTAACTTTAGTCCAGAGTGTTGCGCAGTTTAAAATCAATAATCGTAAATCTAGATACATTTAAGATAGTTCCATGATGTACAAGGAAATATAAGAAACCTTAAAGGAGTTTCGAGAAACTCAGTGAATTTCCGAAAACTTCATCAAAAACTTCTGGAAATTTTATGAACATCCGGAAAACGTGAGAGTATTTTAAGGGTGATGTATCGTTGAGATTTCAAGAACTAAAAAAAAATACGAAAATTTAGGTAAGTTGATTAGACACCAACAACGAAGTTCCATTAATAAAAAAAAAGTGAGAACTTTTAGCAAGCAGCGATATCTTCAAGAAATTTCAGAGAACTAAATTTAGATATTTTTAGATAGTTTAATGATATTCAGTGAAGTTCTGAGTGCTTTGAGGACGATCAGACAGCTTCAGAATAATCCTATTAACTTAAGCAAATTTGCAGCGACTTACAAGGAGTTCCGTGGAATTATAGGATATTCCAAGAATTCTATTATTGATCCTTAAACGTCAGAAGCGTCAGGGAATTATGAATATATATCAGAAAATTTGCTGGGTTATTAAACAAATTTAGAGAACTTCAGCATAGATAAGTTCAGAGAAAATAAGCGAGTGTTAATAATGGCTATAATGCTTAAGGAACATTCTCGAAACTTGAAGGCAAGTTAATTAATTTCAGTAAAGTTTCGGGTTCTTAAAAAATACTGATGAATTCAGGGCAGTCTAGAGAACTTTAAAGAAATTCAGTAATCGTTTAGGCACCAGGAAAGTCTAGACTACTGAAGAAGTTTTAAATTAGTGTCGATAATTTAAGGGAAGTTTTATGAACTTCAGAAAAATCTTGAGAACTTCAGTGAAAATTTCGTTCGAATTCGATGAAAATTGCGGGAGCACAAAAGTTCCAGAAATTTAGAAAAACTCCGAAAACTTCGGAGAAGGACAGTGGTCTTCAGAAACATTGCTTCATAGAAATCAATGGAGCTTAAGATGAGATCCGCGAACTTCAGGAAATTTTATGAACATTAGCAAAATGCGCGAGCATTTAAAGGAAGTTTAGCAAGCTTCGAAAATTAGTGAGGAATTTAAAGCAGTTCCCAGATTTTCAGATAACTTCAGAGACGTTGTTTGAGGTCTTCGCATAAGTTCAGAAGTTCACTGAAGCTTAAACAGTTTTAGGACGATTTAATTAAATTCAGCGCAGTACAACAAGCTTCATGAGAACTGCAAAAACTTTAGAGAAGTTTTGAGAATTTCAGAAAAGAACAGAGAACCTCATAGCAGTTCCGTCAACATTAGAGAAGTCACATACATTTTAAAGAAGTTTAGAGTGTGAATTCAGTGAATTGTTAAACTTTTAAAGAAGATCCATGATCGTTAAAAAAATTGAGGAAACTTTAGGAAGTCCTATACACTTTGACTATATGTTTTAGTATTACTTCTACGTGAAGTCAACGATTTACATAGTTGAAGATGCTAATTTCAAATAACAGACTGTAGTGGTAATTTTTATACGATAGATGGAGTAGATGAAAGCATAGAGTTGATAGTTCCGTTAGAGTACGGCAGTGTGAAGATTGCATATAGATATTAGAATAGAGAGCTAGGACAACTTTTTAAGGAAGGTACAAATCGGTTTTTTCATCTCTCTTTACCAAACTCCCCCTTTGGAGAGGGATGGTGAGGGGTGTCCCCCCCCCCGCCACCAGTGGTACCTTGTGGAAAGTATCACATCTGCAAAGGATCGTGAACTTGATAGGCTTGAACGTGTGTAATTGGTTGATGGTAGGAGACATCACAATCTGCGATACGATAGGCTTGGTGAGTCGATCAGAACTGTTTCGAGGATGTTGTTTCTAGGGTGGGAGTGAACTTTCATTCGTTCGAGTTCTGGGTTTGATTTTGTCGGGGAGCATTTTACTGGCAGCTGGTGAAAATTTCGTCCACCGTCCGTTTCTTGTGGACGGGTCGTATAGGTTCCTCTTCTTACTAGGTACTTGTAGTAGTCCATAGGTTGGAGGATCTTCTTGTGCCAATGCGCTGAAATGCAGTTTTCATTTACTTTTTAATTCAAACAGCTTCAGATTTCTTCAATCTTGCAAACTTCTATCGGACTTGTTGTTGTAAATGTTGTCTTGAATGTTTAATGTGTTGTCATACGAACAAGGTTGCCAAGTCGGTCTTCAAGGAACGGTTTTGGTTCAGTGTTAGAAAATCCCAAAAGCAGCAGTCAGTGACGATTGTCAATTTCGGTTGTCAAATCTGACGCCAAATGCTAACTTTTCTCTGAACTGGCAATACTCAATCGTTTTGTCGGCCACTCATTTGTAATAAAATGGCCGAATATCAGCAAAATTTCGCATGTAAACACCGAATACCAGGCCAAATGGCATTATTCGGTGCAGCTCTAGTTACTACATAACTTTCGTCCCTAATCCGCGACGCCTATGAAGCGTCGTCATCAGTTTGGTGAACCAATCTGCCGGTTGGTTTGAAGTGGGAAGTAATAAAGATTAACCACTTCGTTCCTCAAACTCTCGTGCACGAAATGATAGCGTATGCTAACGTGCTTAGTACGGGGATTATAGGATCGATTCTTTGCGACGCTAATTGCTGTCACAGAACATCAACATTGCTTCTTGAATGCTTCGTGAAACTGCCATGTACTCCGCTTCGCACGACGAAAGAGCCACTGTCGGTTGCTTCTTCACGTTCCAGGCTATAGCTGCTCCCTGCATCGTGACACATATCCACTCACTAGTCGATCTGTGGCTATCAGGATGTCCTCCCCAATCGCCATAGTTATATCCTATTACTTCTCCGGCTGTAACTTCATCGTCTCTGTTCCCTTAAGGTATCGAATGATTCGCTTAACAGCCTCCCGAAGTGGTCTGCCATGATTCAAAGTGAACTGACTTACTACATTTACGGCAAACGCAAAATCGGGTCGTGTCAGCGGCGCCCGTGGTGTAATGGTAAGCGTGATTACCTCTCACCCCAGCAGGCCTGGGTTCAATCCCAGTCGGCGCCACCGGAATGTTCTGAGGCATAACATCTCTGATCACGTCTTCCTTCGGAAGGGAAGTAAAGCCGGTTCATGAGTTGATGGGGCGATAGGTAGGGTCCAGGTGTGGGAGCTGCCTCCCTCGCGTCGGTAGCATTGGTGCTCAGAACGGAAAACAAGATCGACGGAAAACAAATAAAGGAAAAAAATCTTACCGCTTCCTTGTATGCCACGTTTCTCATCTCCATCTTCTCTTCTTCAGTCTTAGGTGTCATCGACTTTTCCAGTCTAAGCTCCAATGCCATTTCAAAGCGACGAACGATTCCCTCAATGTACGCCTGCTTGATTTGGATGCCTAGATAATGTGTGGCCACACCCAAGTCCTTCATCTCGAACCTCCGCACTAAGAACTCTTTCAGCTTTTTCCTTAATCGGCAGTCGTTTGGCATATATTGTCACGAAAAGCATCTTATCTCCGACCAGCATCCAGTATCGTTGCAGGCCAAATTCTCGCAGTACTTCATCC